CCCCCTCATGCGATTGAGCCCAGTTCACGACCAACCTGGGCTCCAACTCGTGCTGCCACCGCTCGGGCGGATCTTCCATGGGCACAAATCTTGGAGTGACCTGAGGGGGGCCACTGAGACAGGAGTGCTGAGGTCTGGAAGGTGATGGTCGGTCTAGGCCGACCATGGATCTAAGCACATCCGAGAATAAGCAGTCTGAACTCACCCGGCCAGGCCATGCAAAGCACCTATAAGGGTTCCAAAGCATCCACCCCCAAATCCTTTGTGTTTTTTTTGTTTTTTTCGTTTTTGGGAGGCTCTGGACGGCAGTGGTTCCTGTTTTTGTTTTTTTTGTTCCCTCGGGTCGTCTGGCACCTCCACCCGGAGTGGAGTTGTTCGGCGGACGGACCGGTGGGCGAAGGTGGGCGGACTGGTGGGCTTGGACCCCGAGAAGGCCCGTTGGATTTGTGGATGAATGGGCTGAAGCAACTTAAGCAACTTCAGCAAACATCGCAGTGGAAAAGCTCCCACCCCTGCCCCTGCCAAGCAATAAAAGCAACACTGTCTCTGACGCTTCTCTGCTCTTCTCCATTTCATATTCATCATGCATTGAGTCAGGTCATAGTGCCATCACAACTAGAACACCTGCCCAAACGCATCCATCCCAGACACTCCATGTGTGTAAAATTTGCCTACATTGACCCCCAGTCAACCACCCCTGGCCGTTTCTCGGCTATGGCAGACGGGTCGTGTCTGGGCATGTTTGCCTCGAAACCACGTCCAACTCCAGCGTCCCGACTCTCCGACTCTCCGGCGCCTCCTCCTGCAATGCGGGCGCGCTGGACCCTCCATTCGCGCGTCGGTAGGCGCTCCTTTGAAGCTGCTCCACTGATAAAAGGTCTTCGCGCAAGGGGTCCCAAGCAGACCGGAGGACCACGCACTGGTAAGGTACCAAGGTTTGACCGTCCAAGCTGTCCTGAGTGGAGATGTGGTTGAGATGAGTGGAAACTGGTGGGGTTTTCAGCTGAGAATAGTTCATTTGCTGAGAATAGTTCACCTGAGATGATTTTTGGACAGATTTAGAAAGGATGACTATATGGTTTTTGCATGAATTGATGGACACAAGGAGTTCCAAAGGGGTGCCTATTGGAGGGGAGGGATGTCCACTAGATCCTCTAACTTATAGGGACTTAAAACATCTTAAAACCACCCGGTTGGAACTGCCGTTATGAAATTTCAATGCTGACTCAGTGACTATATCAATGAATCATTGCCCAGCTCCTTCCGCCCTACCAAAAACCTTTAAAACAACACACACAAACGCCGCGGCTCGTAAGTCTCGATCTCAGCGCCCAAGCACTTCACTAAGCTCCTGCGGCTGACAAGTGCTGCAAGTATATCAAGGCGGATTTGGTTTGGAACGGTTTGAAGGGATTTGCCGGCAGGTCATTTCTCGTTCCACGCGATGGGCACTGGCGCTACCATCAATGCTGCAGGGTGAGGATTTTGGATCTGAACAATTGGCACACTTCCCAACCTCTTCCTGCTGGCCCACACCTACCACAGGCCTACCTCCCAGCCCCGCTAGGACCGGACCGGGTCGGACCTCTCGCTGTGCAGGCGACAGGGGTAGCGCGCAGGCGCTCTCCTCAAATAGGGCCCCAAGCGAAAGCGGCTCCCCACCGGCTCCGGCTCCCAGCGGCGCCAGCGCCGGAGGCCTTTGGTGGCGCCCAGATCGATCTCACAGCAGCAGTGCTCCACGTCCAAGGCCGGGAGAAGCGGCATTCCGCGCTTGAAGCTTTGCATGGAAATGACCACATAGAAGCCTGATGAAGGTGGGTGAGATGTTTCAGGTGTTCATGGCTTCTTAAGTATGGTTTTAGAGGGCTTTTGAGTCCGGAACACCTTGAGTCCCAGAGTGGTGGGAGGGTGGAACATCGAAGACCGCGTTCGGTGGATAGTCCGAATTGCATGAGGTTGACCATGGTCGACCAGGGTGAGCAAATGGGCCCTACATTTGGGGCAGTTGGGCAACATCTCCTCACGCATCTTCAGTTTCCACTGGATGATTAGACTTGGAGCAGCATACGCAAAAAACAAATACTGCGGAAATAGACTGAGGTCGTCCACAAATTGCTCGAACAAAATTACTCCTTCAGAACAGTGGCGCACTCATACTTCAATGAAGATGCATCTTTGTGATTCCCCCCAGATGAAATGCCTCCCCGTCCTCGCCGTCCTTCGCTCTGACACCGAGCAGCGCTCGTCCGTCTGCCGCAGCCGATGGATACCCGGGCGGTTGAGCAAGGCCTCAGCCCGGAGGCGTGCTGCGCCCAGGAGGCGGCTGAAGTGATCCTCGGAGCGGCTGGAGACCGAGGTGGAAGAACCCATTTTGGACTCTCCAAGTTGGGTACCCCAGGTCTTCCGGGTCCTTGTTCAGGTCTCTTGCACGCGGTGGTGAGTAGAGAGAGAGAGAGAAGCACCTTGAGGCTCATGTTTTTTTT